AATTATGTTTGTGAAGTATGGACTCTCAAATCGTGAGTATTAATAAAAGAACGACCAATACTTCCTGGCAATGATGTGACTTGCTCATATAATTTTTATTTAGGTGGCATGCATTTGGATACTCAATCCTCACTACAGAAAAGCTTCTACTTAAATCCACCTCCAGTTGGGACAGCATGAAGGAGTATGACAAATCCAGGTAAGTGTTTATGACAATGAGACTTCACATCTTAAGAGCTCCCCTGCACAAAGAAGGTTCCCTCAATTAGGACCAAAATGCACAAAGGTGCAAGTCTGCAAATGCTGGCCCCAGTCTTCCCAGAAGGCTGTGTAAGGAGAGAGCAGTGGTTTTGTGAACCACTGACCTGAGAGGTCCTTCTTGAACACAGGACGGTACACACTGGACAAGCACACACCAGAGATGTGTTTGCGAGATCAAAAGCTTAATAAATAAAATGCCCCTGGCACAGCAAGGCTATGAAGTTGCTCTTTCTTTCACATTGGCAAAAACTCCTAAACAAATTAAGTAAACCAGTCCCAATGAGCCCAGAAGACCTTAAATCACACTAAACAAATTCCAAGCCTACAGTTAAGAGGGAAATCATCCAGAGATACCAATTCCAGTGGGCAGCACATATTTACTGGCAAAACGCTGTTTGTTTGGTAACTAACTCAGGTTACCAGTAAGGACAACCAGACTTTCATGTTTATAGATGAGAAAAGCCCTGGAAATCTTCCCCTGTATGTCCCACTCCTCTGTTTTTCATTGCAACTTCAAAGATTCTTGCGGCCTTAGCAAAAACACTGGCCTAATTGCCTCTGTGGCAGCATTTCTCTAAGCTGGTACAACACAATGAAGAATCACCCGGGCATGAGGGGTCAGGAGGACTAAGCTGTAGGGTGCAGAGGGCTCATGCCCCTGATACAGAACATTTTACAGACCTCCCCTTACTGCCAAGTCTCCCCACAACCTCTCAGACAGCCTCTGCCTGACTGTCACTGCTCCTCTGCCCAGTGCAGGAACCACAACACATCAAACAGCACAAGTCAGACCAGCTTCTCAGCCACGCAAATCACCACGCTCTGTCAGAGACAGTCTGCAAAAACAAAACAACAAATGGTCAAACATTTGCACCGCTTGTTTGCCAGGGTCCATCTGTGCTTCATCTTTCCAGGGCAGGAAAAATGGATGGAGAACCTTCAACTGGCAAAAAAATTACTGCAAACTTTGCATCTGAACCTCCCTCCCTCCTCTGCTTCCTCAGAGATTCCAGTGGACAAAAGTCTATTATCTCATTTATTAATTTAATTATCCCACATCAAATTTTCTCCATCAACTTCACCCACGTCATTCCAGCAAAATTCTCTAAAGTTCTCAAAATCAAGCATGTTGTCTGCCCACCCATTTTAGGACTGGCATGGCACATAAGTTTTGCATTCTTCTTTTGTAGGAGCAGGACTAAACTTGTCAAAATTACGCTTTTGCTCTACAGTTCTATACAATTCTCCAAAGAGTCAAAACATCCACTGGACAAGGGAAGAAATGCAAAAAACAGCTAACACTTCCAAAGAGGTGGGGGAATGATCCCACTCTCAAGTCACGCACAAGCACCAGTAGCTGCTATAGAGTAAGAAATGATAGCAAGTAATATTATTTTATTAGAAAAAAAAAAAAACCAAACCCAAACCATTTTCCTTTCTTACACCAAGAGGAGATTCACTGCATTTCACTTCAGCTTTCTATAAGCTAGCATCAGAGCTAAGCAAGTCACACAGGTTCCCTCTGGAGTTACAGCTGAATGGAGAGAGAACCTGTGTCTGGTTTAGGCTGGTGAAGTAAGGCCACTCTGCTTCAGACTCACCACCTAATTTTCTGTTAATTCACAGCTTTCTGGTTAACTTCATATTGGGATGGAAAGATTACAGCAAGGTTATGATGGTCATGTGTGCAGAAACCTTGTAAGTGGTGACCTTCAGTGAAGGTAACATTTCTGAATTTTAAGCCTCTACTAAACCCTAGAGATTAAATCCTGGCCCTGCTGAAGGTCAGGAACAGAACTTCTGCTGACTTCACTGTACCAAGAAGCTCTCCTTCTACAAGCTGTTTCCCCAAATTCTTTGTACCTTGGAATTTGGAGAACAAGTGTTATGAGGAGTAGCTGAAGGAACTGGAGTTGTTTAGCCTGGAGAAAAGGAGACTGAGGAGAGACCTTATCACTGTCTACAACTACCTGGAGTTGTAGAGAAGTGGGTGTTTGTCTCTTCTCCCAAATAACAAGTGATAGGACAAGAGGAAATGGCCTCTATTTGCACCTGGGGAGGTTCAGATTGGATGTCAGGAAAAATTTATTCACTGAAAGGGTTGTCAGGCACTGGAATGGGCTACCTCTGGAAGCGGTTGAGTCACCATCCCTGGAGGTATTTAAAAGGTGGGTAGACGAGATGCTCAGAGATAAGGTTTAGTAGTGGACAGGTACGGTTGGACTCAATGACCTCAGAGGTCTTTTCCAACCAAACGTTTCCATGATTCTAAGTTCAGTGCCTGATTTTCATCATTATTTTCAGTCTTGTGGACTTTCATATCCTGGGACAGGTTTAAAGCAGCAATAACATAGGACAATCATTCTTTGAATAAATGCAAATTGGATGAACCATAAACACTCAAAAGAAAAACTCATTCTCCTAAAATGTGCAGACTTAAACAGGTTGAGAGAGGTACCAGTTGCAATTCTCAGGTCCCTCTGTTTATTTACAGAGGTTGTCAACTGTGTGCTGTGGGATTTAAGAATGACTGAGTATGTCCTGTGGCAGGCAATGGTGTGACCAACTACCATCTTCATTTTATTCCCTGTAACTAGGAGGTGGCTGTAGTGGAAGCAGAAGAAATCATCCCATACTGGATGACAGACAGGACAACATAGCTACATCTATACTGTTTTTGCAGAGTGGGCACAAGCTTGCCTACCATTCACACTGGACACAAATTAATGTCCAGGCATGGGTTTGGAGTCAGACGAAGGGGATGGAAAAAAAAAAAGCTTGGTATTGCTTTACTTTCCAGCACTGGCCAAAGCTCCCACCTACCTACAGCTGGTAGCTCCTACCTACCTGCTAAGGCACAACCGTGGTTAAACAGGTTCCAACAAGATACACCCCAGGGAGACAGATGAGTTAGCCAGGGCCTTCCTTCCTTACACACCATACACCCCATGCAGAAAGACACTGTGGAGGATGTAGCCATCCTGAAGCACTCACACAGACATGAGATGCAATGCCTGCCCAAGCTTTTCAGTGACTACAAGCATTGCTCTCCAGTGCCATCCAGATTTAAAGATCTTCTACTGTGAAGTACTGAGCAAAATTAAACACAAATTATAGTAAACTGCAAATAAATTAAAAAGACACTACCTCAGGCACAATAAACTTGTGAGCCAGAGATCACTGGAAGCCAGGATAATATTCTGGGGAAGTCACTCTATATTTACTCAGGGTTCATGCTCTTTGCTGGGCACTACTGCGGCTGCTTCTGAGAATGGGAAACATTCAGCTGGAGGAAACTGGGGTCTAACTTAATACAGCTGGGTAGATACTCCTAAAAGCAGTGCCTATTAATAAATAGATAAAGGATACAGCTGGGCTTTGGGGAAGCATCCAGCCACCTCTCCAAGCTGGGTATCAGCAGCAAATCTTCCCTGTATCATCTGAGCACAAGCGAACTGAGCCAGACTTCTCCAGGAGAGAAAAAAGGAAATGAAGAGGAGGGCAGCAACCACAGCGCCGGGGTGTCAGTGAGTTGTGCCGACGCCACAATAGATCCCTTGGCCATGACCGGCCGCCGGGACGGGTCAGGTCTGTCTGGGGCACAGACAATAGGGTCCCAGAGAAGCAGCTGCCCCCCGGCGTAGGTCACTGCTTCTCCACCACGCATCTGCTGGGTGAACCCTGACATCAGCCCTCAACGCTCGCCTCGCCGGCAGTTCCTGTCTGAAGGAGGGTGGCTGGGGATGCAGTAAGACCCTATGTATTTTGAAAAGAGCCATTAGACTGCCAGCAGGACGACAGTGCGTTAATTGTTGCACAAGAAAGCCTGATCTCATGAGATAAAACTTTAATTGCAACTTCCTCGCCCAGGGGGTGCAGATGGCATGGGTTTCACCGTCCCCCACCCCAGCATGCCTCAGGCACTTCAGTGATCTGCTCTCAATTCTGGATGAGCAAATGTCTGACTGGAGAATTTCTTGGGAATGTATTTTTTCCCCTCCACCTGCTCCTCTGGCTTTCTAAAAACGGAAAGAAAACCCCATGGGAAATAAGAGAGGAAGTCTGGGGTTTAAATTATGTGCTGACTGACATGCTCAATACCTCTACAAAACTGGGTAGCCACCTTGCTTAAAAACTACTTTTAATCTACTATCAGAGGATTAATTATCATCAAATTGTAAACTCTAAGCTACAAAGGAAAGATTAGGTGACTTAACCTTCTTTTCAACACAGTTGTGCTTTTCTGTCCTGCAATAAATTTCCAGGTTTACACTCATCAGAAGAAGCATGCCTGGAAGCCTCTGGTCCACCACCAGTGCTGCCCCAACCAGCACTGTCCCTTGTGCGGCGCTGAGGGACAGATGGGCAGGGAACAGAAGAAAAGGGCATATTAGTTGTGCCTCTCTGCCTGCTCAACTCCTGCATTCATCGAGGATGAAGTAGAAATAAAATCCACATTTCGGGCTGATGATGCTTATGACCTTTACGGAGTAAATGAGGTGCCAACCAGCGCATAAAGTTTGCAGGGGAAAATGCTGCAGGGACCCTGGGAGCAAACAGCAGCCCATTTCCACGGGCCCTGTTAGTCCTGGTGGTGTTTGGGAAGGACCATCCTTCCTTATGAAGGACTCAACACAGATAAAGCTCACAGTAGTATCGGGCAGGGCAAGCCCAGCGTTGGTGGTGGCCGTGAGCCCCTGAGCAGCAGGGCTGCCAGACACCCTCCCCAGAGCTCTTACCCTGCAGTACTCGTCGATGGGCTTCAGCCTCTTCACAGCTACGTCTCGGACATGGCTCCTCCGGAACAGGATCTTACCTGAGGAGGGAACAGATGAAAGGAGAGGGTTAGGGGCATTGCCTGACATGTGGGATAGGGCAACAGCACTGAGCAGAAAGGTCAGCAGACGGACTTTCATCCCCGGCTCCAGCCGTCGCTGTCGGCAGTGCTGGTGGCTGAGCTCTGCAACCCCATTACGCCCCTGACAGAGGAGTCCCAGTATTGATGTGGTTCGCGTAGCAGCAGCTTTGTGTGACTGTGGTCCCCATCACTACAAGACAGACAGGATGGCATACTCGGAGGAGGTGTGAGCAGCAGATCTGCTCCTGCCCTTGCAGCAAACTGCACAGAGACGCTGCGGGGCAGGTAACGGAGGGACAAGGGGCAATAGCTACTACAGGAGCACACATGGCACCTCTCGCAGCTCAATGGCGCTGGCCTTAAGTTTGCACAGGAAATGCAGCACACGGCCAACAGCTACCACAGGCACAGCAGCTCTGTGAAACCCTGGCGACTGCCACCGAAGCCCCGCTTGTGTGAGCCACCGAAAGGAGACACCAGCAACTCACAGGGCAGAAGGATTATTTCTGATTTCATCCTGTAGATAACACAAAAAGTTTTGGTTCCCTTTTAATGATGGAGTAATCCTGGAATGGACTGACACTATGCTATGACTCCCTTCTACTTCAGGGACACTTTGGCACGTCCATGCTGGCAGTGCAGAGAGCATCGCTGGGGTGGGATGTGGGCTCCATCTACACCCCATGCCTGCCCCTCAGCCGCCTCCAACTGTGGATGCTCCTGCTCTTGCAGGCAGACAAACCACAGAGCCAGCTCAGAGCAAATACAAGGCTGTTGGTGACACAGCTCTTATAAATCTACAGAGGGAAACCAAATAATAGAAGAAAAATAAACAAACTCTCTTTTTTTGAAAGTAAAAAAAATAATAACCTCTGTGTCCTTACTGGATGACATTTCTGCAAGCTGGTTAAGATTAAATAAACGGCTGGGTTTTGTGTGAAACTGATTGTAACAAAGTTTATAAAAATAATCTAGGAGCTGAGTTTCCCCACACACAAGGATGTGATGGAGTTGGTATTTTTTTGGCTTGAAGGGATTATATCTTCATATCCTTTTTTGGTGGTTTTCTTCCCTTTTTCTTTTGTGCTGTATTTCTTTTAATGTGATGAGACAAGAATAAATTATATGTTCTCCTTGCAGTGGAAGAAAACGGTATCTGCCAGCATTATTTAGTCCATGAAATGTCTACGTAAAAAAGCCACTGAAATATATACCACCACTCCAAACTTCTGCCAACAGGCAAATGAGATACTCATCCATAGATCATGGGATAAGGAAATGGACTAGGAAATTAAATCAGATCCAAAATCTCAATACGTGGCTTTGATTTTGTCATGATTACACAAGCTGAGAGGTTAATGAAATGACAGTCTTTAACAGTCCAGTAGCAGAGGCTCTAAACCCTCCCAGACCCTGCCCCTTTTGGTTGCCTTTTCCTCCATAGCTGCTAATCTGAAAGGTGTTAAAGCCTTTTGTTTCAGACAGGAGAAAGTGGTTTATCACCATCCAATTCTGGCAGCAAAACAGTTTGTCCTGCAAGGTAAAGCCATTTCCTAGTGCCATAAATTTATCTCTCTGGGATCCCTGTGGTTATCTCATTACAAAGCTGGTGCTGAGCCATCCCTGTACGATGTGATGCTATGCGGTCACAGAGCACAGGGGAATTCTTCAAGAAGTGTCTGAGATGTTCATCTGAGCTTGAACGATTTAATGAAAAGCTGCTGGAGAAGGAAAGTGGCACTCCATCTCCCTGCACAGACCCAGTCTGGATACAGCAAAACATTGCTGCTTTCCTGCTTCTCTGTCAGTAAATTGGGAGGACTACCTGCACTTCCAAAACATTTCTTATTATTTCTGATAGCCCCCAGGATCATGCTGTACTTGTACTGCATAACTGCAGTAAGCCACTTTTATGAGAGGATGCGGTGCAGGGTAGCTGTAGAGAAAAGACTAGTTCCCTTCTCAATGCTCCCAAAATGCTGATGTGGGAGATCTTGATACTTCTTTGCAACTTTTATAAATATACTGCAAAGAGAAAGCAACATTTTGGAAATTTTCTCACTTTCTGGCTTTCCTGTTTTCAGTTCAAGCCATGAGTTGAAAGTCGAACTGGTGACCATATAAAAACATAAAGGAACCAAAGACTTAAACACATTAAAGATCTCATATAAATGCAATTCAGCTTTCCTTAAAAGACAGTTTACAGGGAGGCCCAGTCTTCAAAGTAACATAATAAATGAAAGACTCAAACATAAGAAACAAGATAAATATAATAAAGAATGATATATTAAACACAGAGTACAAAAAAGACCCCAGGATATGATGAGTCTTAATTCAGTCCTTAAATGGACATGGGAAATATCATGATTACTGTGGTGCTAGGACAAAAGAAAGCCCAGAAGGTGCTTCCATTTTTATCCCTTCAGAAAAAGAAAGATTTTTTCCGTCTGCTGTTGGAAGCTGGAAAAGGCTCAATGATTGCTGTGGGGAAGATCTGTAGCTGCCCAGTCTAGTATGGCATTCAAAACTGAGATCTGGAGAAGGCTGAGCAGTTTAGAGCACCATGGAGTAGCGGTCAGCAAAGAAAAAAGCAAGAGAAGCAAGGACACTGCAAAAGCACATCCAGTTCTGGTGGGTAGCAAGGAGGGACCCCCTCACAAATCCTGGGGGTCCTCAGGCAGAGAAGCCTTATTGCCAGGGGTACTGAAGCACCTATAAGAGGGACAACTTCCCAAATGTCCAGCTTCTCCCCTCCTCTGGGAAGACAGACTGCCAACAGAAGCTTGGCCGAATCCTTCCTGATTGACCAGCAGCAACCACTGCAGATCCAGTACAAGTTACTAGTGCTTCTTCCAGTTCCCCCATTTCTACTGGTCTTCCTCTGAAACCAGCGGAGGTTCCATGGGACTGGAAAAGGAAGGCAACCCGAGAGACCCATGCTGTACACTCCTTTATACTCTCCAAGTGGGTACACTGGACACAGAGCCCTTTAATGGAAAGCTTTGCCTAACAAGGTAGTTTGGATCATCCTGTTATTGCCACAAAGAAATAAAGAGCTGTCAGACAGCCAGGCAGTGGGGGCACGCAAGGGCCAGCGAGGAACCCTCAAGACAGCAGTAGAGAGGAGCATTTCACACAGCACTAACGTGAAGCAGGGAAGTCCTGGGGTGGGCAGTAAATGCAGAACAGCCTGGGTAATTTCCTTGTGAGGGTGGAGTAGTGGTTTACGTGCCGCTTGGCTTTTCCTCTGGGTAGCTTTCACATCTCTAAGGAAGGGATTTACTTCTGTGCGAGTACATACAGTGCTGCTTCCTCTCTCCTGAATTTTACTGCAGCTCTTTTAAGCCTCCTCAGGCACTACATCTCCGTTTTACAGAAGGATGAGTGGCTTTTTAACCATGCTGCAGCCCAGGTAGGAAGTGAAGGGGAAGTCTCTCTTGGACTCGGATGGGAAGCTATAGGCTATGCAGGGCACCACTGCCTCATGCAAGTATTTCATTCACCAATGTGCCAGGCTCTGACTGGGCCAAGAGAAGTCTGGCACTTGTTAGGAGGGACTCTGAGGACTGCAGCACTGGGAAAGAGAGACGTAGAGAAGACACAGGGCTCCAGCCCTGCTGCTAATACAGGATAACAATATTTATTTTTACCATTTTTTCTTTAAAGAAAATATTATTCCTAGGAAATTAATGTGGATAAGAGGCAAAGTATCAGGTTTAGCATTGTAGGGGACATCTTAAGTCATCCCTTCATCTCTCCGTCTATATATATATAGATGTAGCCTTTAATTCCACGACCACACAGCCCTTCTCCCACAAGACCCCAGGTTCCTCCTGTATACACAGCGGGTGCATAAAGTGGGAAGAATAAAGCTACGCAGGAGACTGTCTATCTGGCAGCTGCTGATTCTGCAAGCTTAAAGGTGTCCTCTGAATATCACTTTATTCCTGTGTAACCTCATACTTAGAAGCAGCAAATGCTTAAAAGTATCCCCACACTCTGGTCCTCCCACTAGCTTACAAATCTGTACTGCACACACCAGAGAGGCCCATAACCTAATGCTTTTTAATGGTCAAGGATGTGGTTCATGCAGAGAAGCAGCTCAGTTCCTGCTGGGCTTGGTGACACTGTGGAGCATGGTCTGGAGGCAGGACAGCACTGGCCATCACTAGGCAGAGAAGCACTAGAAGTCCCCAGGGGGATGCCTAGCAGAAAAGTTCAGCCTTTCCTCTTCAAGGGAGGGGGACATAGGCTATACAGCCCCTACAGTCACAACAGACAAATCAAATGCCCTAGACTGATGATCTGTAAGCTCTAAGACAGCCTTTAAAACAAATCTCCTAATCACATCTTTCACGGGCAAGGAGAAATGCTGTCTAGCTAGGCCTCGAGACCTTCTCGAGACGACCTCGTAATCTCCCACCAGTGTGCCAGGGGCTCAGCCCCGAGCTGCCAGCTTTGCTGCTTTGGAGCCAGGCAGTGAGTGGGAGCTGTGGCAGGGGCAATGGGGAGGCACAGAAATTGCTCTTTAGCTCCTTTCCAAATATACCAGAGAACAGATCCATCTCTTACTCTCTAATTGCTGAATTTGAGTCTCCTTTCAAGTGATGTCTGGGTGACGGATTGATCTAAAGACACTGGTTGTGTCATGCAAGGAGCTGGGAAGAGCTCAAACCCACTGTCAAAGGGACAACGGACAAATGCATATTCACATTTAATCTTCTACTTCAAGCAGCGTCACCACACTTCAGAGAGAAGGACATGAAGCAAACCATATGATAAATATTCAACAGTGAACAGCCTGAATACTAATAGGTACATTAAATGTACTGTAATGTCTCATCTAATTTATGTTTAAAGGAGACATGTGCTGCTTCCATCTACAGAAGCTCCAGCTGCAGGGGGTCCGTCAGTCAGCTGTCCCCTAAGAGCAGGGAAGAGCTCCTGTTTCTGCCTCT